TAAATTTAATATGACAGTTTGTGAAGTTGAAAATGCGAAGGGGCGGCTTAAGCAGGCTTTTGATCAGACCAGTCACAAGAAATTTGAGCACATCTTATAATTCAAAGTTATCATGGAGAATAGTGGTCATTGTTTTCGTAACCTTTTCTTTCATGTACCATTTTCTAGATTTTTGTAAACCTTTGGAGTCGCGCCATTAGCGGACTACCATCTTATTAATGGAATTTAAGCATTTATCCTTTGTTGTGTTTTTTCTATCGGACAAAAACTCAGTTTTTATAGCAATATTTGAAACAAAGTTAATTAGAGTATTCCTATCTTGAAATGTGTCGTGAATACTAGAAGGAATATTAACAGTTGCTCCGAGAATGGTTAAGCCTTGAAATTCAAAACAACATAGTAATTCATCCTTGTATGATGAATATTGGTTTCTTCATTCAAAATTATCATGAGGTGTTGGTTGTGTAATCTTGTGTTCCCAGTAGGGTACTAAGCTTGGTGACTCCCCAGCCATCCCGGTTAAGCCTTGATTCAGTTATTCTAGTTGAGTAAGTTTTTTCTCCCTAACCAAAGTGATGTGCATTTTGTTGTCATTTCAATGGTTTATTGATGTTAGAAAATTGAAATTTGGGTATGGTCCTCTTCAAAGAGACTTGAGCCTTGTAATATGATATGCTCTGACGATGCCTTTTGTTCTATCTCCAGTTATTTTTCCATCTCTTTGAGATTAGACGAGTATTTGGTTGTTTTGTGATGTCTTATCATCTTCAGTTTATTTCCTCTATCTGTTTTGTCAGCATATACATGACATTCATTTATTCATTTACACTTGCATCATGCACGCACATTTGTATTTATCGATGTTATTGGGTTCGTATACCTTGGTTATATCTATTCAAACAACATATTGTCTCTTTCCAAATAGAGTGTCAACTTAAGCAGAAAGTGTGCCTCCTTTCTAATTCCCCAACTGAGTTAATCCTCATGGAAGAATCTTTCTTTAACTATCCTCTTCCATATCTGGATAGGATAAATCCCCAATTGAGTTGTTCCTCATTGGGTGGAGTTTTATTTGATTGTTTTCTCTCTGGTTTATTCCTGGATTGAGCTTTGTCTCTTGTATATGTTACCCCGTGGTTTTCTCTAGGCTACGAAACCTAGATGAAGAGCGCATTTATTTTGCACATTTAAATACTTGGTCTCCTGAGGAAGAATCTATTCATGGTTTCCCATTGAAGATGAACTTTGTTTCCCAGTAGTGTTGTTGCAACACTCTTTTGGAATCTCAACATGAATAAAGTGGTGTACTCTTCATGAGCAGCTTGTGTATTATTGATATCTTTGGAAGACAACAAGTGGCAGACTCTTGATGAGCAGCTTGTGTATTATTGATATCTTTGGAAGATAGCAAGTGGCAGACTCTTCATGAGCATCTTGTATATTATTGATATCTTTGAAAAGTAGCAAGTGGTAGACTCTTCATGAGTAACTTGTGTATTATTGATACCTTTGGAAGATAGCAAGTGGTGGACTCTTCATGAGCAACTTGTGTATTATTGATACCTATGGAAAGTAGAAAGTGGCGAACTCTTCATGAGCAGCTTGTGTATTATTGATATCTTTGGAATATAGCAAGTGGCGAACTCTTCATGAGCAGCTTGTGTATTACTGATATCTTTGAAAGACAGCAAGCGGCGGTCTCTTCATGAGCAGCTTGTTTGTATTAATATCCTTTGAAGATAGCAAGTGGAGGCCTCTTTATTTGAGAAGCTTGTGTATCCACAACAATATGTTATCTCAGCAGCAAATGGTATCTCTCCGGAAAAGTCCCGCAGAGAAGTTTGTTATGAAATCTCTACCTTCAGTAAAAAAATCGGTAGTTTATTATCAGTAAAAGTTGGTGTATCTTTTTGTCTACCTTTACCCTGAGTTGTAAACTCACCATCATCTTGAGTCAAGAGCTATTTATCTTTTCGTATCCTATGCAAGTTGTTTTCTTTGTTAGAGTCAGAAAATTGCTTTCTCTCGAAGTTATTCCCCAATAAGAGTCTCTCATTTAAATTTTGTGGCTCTCTTTCTCCATTAGAGTTATAATCTCTTCCCCTGTGGATTATTTTTTTTCATGTGCTTGATTTCTCAAGCATTAGTTTGTCTCATGTGGCATCATACCCCATAAGATTCATATCATAAACACAATGGTGGTATCTTAGGGCCAAAAATTACGTATTCTGTATTTAAGTCCCTTCAATCTCGTCGAGACGAAGATTTCAATCTTCATATCTCCGGATAGAAGAAACTTAAATAGGGGCAGCTGTCATACCCCAATTCTTGACCTAATATCCCATCTTGATTTGCATTTTTTTTATATACATCAAGGTCACGAAATATGGTCAATTTTGAACATCTCACCTTCGAGCATTGTCAGTGGTAGAGATTATCGAGAGTTGTGAATGTTTTATCTTATGCATGACTAACTTCTAATCAAGCACGAAGTGTATGTTTTTGTTTCTTTGATTTCATGTGCAGAAACAGGTTTGAATCAAGAGCATCAGGCGTCACGCCTTAATTAAGGTGTTGAGTCTCTCAAGCCAAAAGTACAATTGATCATTGATTCTCGAAGACTGATTCATCAGAGCATAACTTCTAATCTCAGAGCATAGAGTCTCGAACATCGTTCAGGCTTATTTTGATCACGGATGTCTCAAGTATAATAGTTTGTTTCAGGGAACTTTATGAGAATCGTGTGTTTATTTCCACGCTCTGTTCAACAGTTAGCCTCAAGCTTCTCCGAAATTCTTCAAAAAAACAGTCAAGGTTCCATGATCACTAGTTCACGTGTGTTTTACCTTGCCTTGAAATACAATAAAAATCAGGCTATGCGAGTCTATTCAAAGCACTCCGACCAAAAGTCATCTGCAAGTTTTCTTTAAAAGTTGAAGACAAATTGTATTTAGAAATCCATGAAAAGCTTTTATAGGACGTTTTTCATGATTTAAGAGTTTCTGGATCTTTAAGTTCAGTTCATTGTGCCAAATTCTCAATGCGATAACATTTCGCCTCAAATCCATCTTCTAGTGATCATTCGAAGCTTTTAAGTATGGTTCAATTTCTTATATGACACATGGTGAATTTCATTAGAGTGGGGTGATTGAATTCAAGATCGCTTTGGAAGAATTTATTTAGAATACTTGGAATTTTCATCATGTGAGTTCAAGTGTTAACTAAATAGAAGTTATCAAAAGGGCTCATTCAAGATTCAAATAATTCATCATATTGCATTTATTCAAGATTATTTTCAAGGGCACGATATTTCAAAGTCATTCAAGGCATGTGATTAATTCCATTTTAAATGGAAGACTCCAAATTTCAAGACAAATCCATTCCAAATTCAAATGAAATATTCTAAGTCACATTTAAATCCATGACTTGTTACAATTTTGATAATTTTTCAAGTTTCACCCATGATTCACCCAAGTCAAAAATTCCATTCATATTCATTCAAGAGAATTACATGTTACACAAAGTCCCCAAAATCCATTAGAAGTGTCAAGCAATTTTATTTAGAATTATCACTACAAAGTTACAAGGAGGATTACAAGTTTACACAGAAAAATCAAAACTATAATTCTAATGTCCTAAAGCTTCATGCTTCAAACATGTTTCAAACATGTTGCCCATTTTCCTTCCATGTTTCAACACAATAACAGTCCCATTTTTGTGGTACTTTTGCAGTCCAAATAGCAGCCTGCAGATCAATCCAAATAGCAGCCTATAGATCAGTTTAAATCCTGCAAACAAAACTGCTATAAATCAGCCTAAACCAGTCTAATACAATCTGCTATGCCACTATTGCTCTGCATCATAGCATCCAAGAGGTTACATCAAAATAGCAACTCAAAACTGGATGAAAAAAGCATCAAAACAGGGCATTCATATTTGTTCAAAATCTCTACAATTTTCCCTCTCGATTCCACTCCACTATGCTTATAAAAGGAACCCAAAGACAACCACCTAGAGGGGGAGAAAAGAAAGAAATTTGTTCAAGAATCACAACAAGAATCAGAGCTAAAGAAGCTTGAGCATCAACCAGTGAGTGAGGGAGAACTTACTATTTTTTTGAAGCTCCATCAGAGAGGCTCCGATAGGTATTTCTTCTCCCTATTACTTCTGCACAATTTTCTCGTATATACATCAGCATCATACATAATAAGGCAATTATCCTTAAGCACAAGGTATCCTTGAAGCTAGCAAAGGAGAGCAATAGTGCAGGGTTAATGCACGTGGGAAAATTTATGAGTTTAAAACATTGTGCCTGTGATGCTCAAGTTATATTTAATCCTAAGGTTTTTTGTTTTAATTGATTACTTGAGGCTTATTTTGATAATATTAAGATGACAATCGTTTCTCAAGTCTAGGCACAACACATTATTTAGACTTCTATATGGCTGGACTTTATTTTATAAATGCTAATATTTTCTGCTTTATTATATAATCCTAAATATCAACTAGGTAATTTTTAAACATAGCAAATTTACGTATACACATGAAAACAGAAGCAGTAACGATATAAGTTATTCTATCTATATGTTGAGTTTCAAATAAATGACAACACACATTTGTACATGGTAACAAACCTTTTTTTTCCAAAAACCTCGTGTACGCATTTCCTTTAAACTTTCTGTTCACGCATACATATGGTTCTGCTTCAATCACAGTCTATGACGATACTTCATCTGTCAACTACTTTTCTCCCATCAACATCGTCTCACCATCATTATCCATTAAAATAAACCCCACAACAACAGTCTCGTTCCCAACAGCACACTCAAATTTGTTTTGCAGCAAATCCAAATTATCACAAAAACAAAAATTGATGAATGATTTTAACCTCCGTTTCTGACGAATAACACCATTCCCACACCGTAAATTCAACTAACACCCACCAATCTTCATCTTGCTCGTTCCCGTTTACCTCACAATACTCCTCTATTCACGCTACTTTACACCACACAAACTTTCAACCATCTCAATTCCTCTTCTCCTTTCACCAACCTTCACCGCCGAACATCATCAAACAACCCATTATCAACTCTCCTTCTCACTGTCATGTATATATCCTCACCGATCAAACTTTTGTTCTCCAATTTTCCCTCTGCCGATTAAACCCCCACACTTCAACCACTGTGAACAACTACCTCACTTTCCCACTTCAACAACATAACAGCCACGCTCCCTCTGTATCTCCACTTCTGCTAGCTTCACACAACAACACTTATCTCTTTTCCTTCATCAACAACAACAACACCCTCAAACCTTCTTTATTAGCCATGTTCCTAAAAAACAAATTGGAACCTTAGTTGGCCGTTGCTGTGATTTTAGAAAAAAAGAAATTAAGAGATTCCAAATAGAGGCGAGTTTGTGAGCAAGCGACTAAGTTCAGATTCGGCCTTGTTACCGTTTCGTTGTGAAATTAAGATCAAGAGAAGACATCTGGTTGCGAATCCATGGGGATTTGAGTAAATTGTTGTTGTTTTATCACTTTAGTAGAAGATGAAGCCAGGGAAATTTAGCAGAGAGGTTTGTTTAAATTTAAGAGAAGATGAAGCTGTCAAGAGAGGGAAGGACGAATTGGAGAAAGTCGTGGAAAGAGCAAGGAGAGAGAGATGGAGAATTTTTAACAGGGAAGAGAGAGTTTTAATTTTTGTTTTTCATGATAAAAATAGAAAATAGAGTTTATTGGGAATCAATTAAATATGAAACTTTCCCTTCCCAATAACAAATCCGGCGCCTCACTTTTGTTTAGGGTTCCAAGACTTTGACTTTACACTTCCCGAATCGGGTCGGTCCTTTAGGCCTTTTAGCCCTGTTACTTTTTAGCTTTTCTTTTTTTAGTTTAATTAAGATGTACATATGACAAGAAGATAGCAATAGCTCGATGGCAAGGCATATCACTATGGCCAAAAAGACTTGAGTTTAACTCCTTGTTAAGGCATCTTATTTGGTTTTTTTAGTTATTTTAGCCTTATTTTCCCAAATTTTATTAAATATTTGATAACGAAATATTAGTTTAGTTTATTTTATACATACAATTATTTCTTTCCATTATAAAAATACAAAAATACATGCTATTAAATTAGTCTTTTATTTGATTTTTGTTATTTATTTATTTGTTCAAAAATACATGCTAGTATAAAGTTCGCTCTTATTTAATTTTTGTTTAATCATTCAATCGTCATTCTAATTAAATTTATTCTCGATCATTTAATCTTTATATCTTTCGTTCGTATAAATTCCAAGGAAAATGTTTTAACTTTGTTGACTTTATGTCATCAAATATATCTTATACGATTATGCAAAACCCCTTCATACATTTTAGTTTTTGTTAAACTTAAGTTAATTTTCCTAAAACACTCAATTTTAAAACTCACACCTTTTAAGTTAAAACTTCGACACTAGGTCGTCGTATCTTCATAATCTCATTCACACCCATTTTAACCAAACAAACAATTTTAACCAAAAAACAGATATTTCCAAAGGTTCCTGCAGAGTACCGCAGATGCGTTGGGTGCTAGTACATTCCCTTTGTATAACCAATCCCTGAACCTTCAATCTCTTTCAAAAAACACATTGTATTTTCATTACTTTTAAGTATTACTTTACATTGCATGTTTAAGGATTTTATTTCTCTCTTTTCCCTTTTCCCTTGGAAATAACAAAGTGTGGTGGTGACTCTTGCTTTTGCGAGTCGAGTTAATTAATAGCTCGATCTTTGATTTACACCGTTACATTTTTTATCACTACACCCATGCCAAAGCGTAACAAGTTTTCTCAAGCAGTGAGTATCTTGTTTCACAGTCGGTGAACTTTTTGCTAAGGTAGTACATTGCATGTTCTTTTCGACCAGACTCGTCATGCTAGCCCAGTAAACACCCCATTGAATTCTCGAACATTGTTAGGTACATGATTAGAGGTCTTCCTTCAACTGGTGGCATTAGAATCAGAGGTTCTTATAGGTACTCCTTGATTTTATCAAAAGCTATCTGGCAATCGCCATTCCACTTTACTACCTGATCTTTATTTAGCAAATTGAAGATTGGCACACAAGTAGGAGTCATATGGGAAATACATCGAGCAATATAGTTTAGTCGTCCTAAGAAACCTCAGACTTCCTTCTCAGTACGGGGAGCCGACATTTCTTGAATAACTTTGACCTTGGCGAGACCGACTTCAATACCTTTACCACTTACAACCAAACCTAGGTGTTTACCGGATCTCACCCCAAAGGTGCACTTATTCAGATTCAACCTCAGCTTGTACTTCTTTAGTCTCTCCAACAACTTATGTAGATGGTCAAAATGCTCCTCTTCAGTCTGAGATCTGGCTATCATATTGTCAACATAGAACTCTATCTCGTGATGAATCATGTCATGGAATAAAGCTATCATGGCACGCTGATAAGTTGCACCGACATTCTTCAATCCAAAAGGCATAACCTTGTAGTAGAAAGTGCCCCACTGTGTGACGAAGGTAGTTTTCTCCATATCTTTATACGCCATTTTGATCTGATTATAACCTGAGAAACAGTCCATGAAGGAGAATACCTTGTGCTAAGCGGGTTTGTCGACCAAAACGTCAATATATGGAAGTGGGAAGTCATCCTTGGGGCTCGCCCTGTTTAGAGCCCTGTAATCTACACACATACGTACTTTGCCATCTTTCTTAGGTACCAGAACAACATTTGCAACCTATTGAGGGTAGGACGTAACAGCTAAGAAACATGCATTGAATTGTTTCATAACCTTGGCCTTGATCTTCTCTGACATCTCGGGATGCATGCAACGAACCTTCTACTTTATCGAATAATAACCCTCTCATCGACGGACGGTGAACCACAATATCAGTATCGAGCCCTGGCATGTCTTCGTATGACCAAGCGAAGATCTCAACATATTCATGCAACATTTAAATTAACCTATTCTTGCCACTGTCCTCTAAGTTAACGCATAGCTTGACTTCTTTCTTGTCTGTCTCAGAACCTAGATTTACAACTTTGACTAGCTCTTCATGCGGTTGAATAGCCTTTTCTTCTTGCACTAAAAGTCTGGAAAGTTCTCCAGGTATTTCATAATCTTCCCCACCTTCATCATCAGCTTGGTAGATCAGATTTTCAAAGTCATAAGTGGCAATAGCAGAATCGTTATCAATGAGATCCATAGTGGATGTGGATCTGCGATGTAGTGAGTGGTTGTGTGTAAGAACACATTAGCTATTTGAAAGTGCAATAAAGTAAAAGAAAGACAGAGAGCGTAAAATTTGAATGTAAAACATCCAATGTTTTTATTAAATGAAAATATGATTATGAAATGTCAACCCTTAACAAATGAACCATTGTGCCACGAGTAAGACACAAAGTTTAAAGTCATTTCTTAAAAGAAATTACATAACCAAAACTTTTTAAAGCAATAAAACAGGAATGTAAATATTACTCCTAACTAAAGGAGATAGAGATAATGTCTTCGGCCTTCCAATTGCTGAGCATGTTGCCAATGGTAGAAAAAATCCAGCTATCAAGGTCATAATCACTATCAGCATCCTCTATATCGTTGACTCTGTTATTGTTGACATGGAACAGAGGTCTTCCAGCATGAGCACGACGAACAACCCTTTGACCCTTTGTAGTGAAACCCAAACCAAATTTGTCAGATTTTTACGGAATGTCAGGAAGCTGACCCTAAATAGTACAACTTAAGGACGGAAAAACACAAGAAGGGGGGGTTGAATTGGGGTTTTGAAATCTAAGACAAAATGAGACTTGATTTTTATCCTGGTTCGTTTGAACTCAAACTACTCCAGTCCACCCGCCAAGGTGATTTTTCCTCTCTCCAAGGAGGTCTTAATCCACTAATCAAACTTGATCACACAAATACAATGACAATTGTCAATGTCTTCTTGAGTTTAAACCACAGCCCGGTTTCCTCAAGGAATTATAAAATATGAATAAAAAATGTGTACAGTAGTGTTTCTAGAAAAATATATCACAACTGTGATTTTTTACACAAAGTTTAAGCACAATGAAGATAATATAAAAATAGCTTAAGAGAGTTCTTTGTACGTATGTATACCCAAAAAAAATTTATTCTTCAAGTCTTCTTTATATAGGCAAAGCTTTTGAGAACCGTTGGAGACACCAGAATTTATTTTTGGAATGTTGATGAATAGAGATGAATGCACATTCCAAAAATAAAGATCTTGTCTAGAAACTGCCATTAATTTATGATGAGCTTTTAAATGAATTGTAACGCTTCAGAACAACTTTAGTACTTAGAACATGATACATCAGAGTTTGACTTGCGCTTGGTGCTGAGTCTTTAGAAATTTATTTTGAGACTTCTTTTGTTCTTCTAGAACTTCTCTTATCAGAGTCAGACTTTTACTTGCAGCGTTTGGTGCTTCAGAAGTTGTAACATATAACTTCTTCATTTAGCATTTTACACGGATTTGCTTCTAAGTATGTTGTGTCTGAACAAATCTTCAAAATGAAAATCTCTTATCTTCTTACATCGAAACTTCCAGGGATGTAGAACAAAAACTATGTTCTACATCAGAACTTCTTATCTTCTATGCTTCTTACATCAGAACTTCTCTGCATATTAAAATACTTTTTTAGAGAAAATATATGTTCTTTATATATATCATGTGTTTGTTATCATCAAAACTCTTACATGGATGTAAAACCAAACTATGTTCTAACAATCTCCCCCTTTTTGATGATGACAAAAAAATATTTTGATAGAATACTTAAAGAACATAAAGCATAAAAGTCTCCCCCTGAGTTGGATACTCAGATGAAGAAAAAAACTTCCCTAAAGATTTCTGATCAGAGCTTTGAGAAGGAGTCAAAATATATTTCATTCTCCCCCTTTTTGTCAAGAATCAAAAAGTAGGAACAACACGGGAAAAATAGAAGATTAAGATGAAGCAGCGAGCAAAAACAAAATAGTTTTCAGATCTTCTGAGTTGTCTTTTTGGGATGGGATCTTCAGATGTTTTTGTAATGTTTGTTTCATCTTCTTTTGTATTACAGTCACGAAGGCAACTTGTGGAGACACTTTAGCAATTCTGTTTTAGGGACTCTATCATTTACCGAGAAGGCAACTATAGGGTCATCGAGGGACTATGATCTTTTGATTTTACGGGTCTTTGCCAAAGTGTTCCTGCCACATGACTGTTTTTAAAGGCAACCAAAGTGGGCGTACCTTAGAGGTGCTTGTGTGCAAGTGTGTTCAATTCAGTTATTTTATCTTTAAACATTTAGGTGTTCTAACGTTTGTTTTCATATCTTGTCATGCAATCCTTG